TGTTGAAGATTGCACAATATCAATCTTTCTATCGCAGTTAACGAATTAATAAATCACACGTGCCTACTTATTGTTGAAGGGCCGAGGTAAGCGGATAAGCTTTTATCTGCGATATGGCAGGTGAAAGAAAACCGCGGATTATTGCCGCACGACGGATAAGGCGAGGGCCATCAGTCAACATCTCGACTCGTAAAATGTATTCCGATTTATTAAATTTTTTTCACGTATGCCTAAATATGAGCTCTTTACACGTTACGCCATAATAATATATCGTGTGTAGAGTTTGATATCGAAGAACTTGTTACATTTATTATAATCGGTAAAATGGATTAAATTATCATACAATGTAATAGGTAATAATTGTAACATGGCTATAACTAGGCACATACATGTAACAGTGAATCGCAAATAAAAAAATTATCGTGTATTCTCAGCCTATTATATAAAGATTGAATATATATATGCGAATATAATATAATATTAATATAATATAATATAATATAATATAATATAATAACCGCTATGCGCTCTGCTTTTATTTACAACATTGAAACGATTATCCTAACGAGTTGCTTTATACTATCAGATATTTTAATAACAAGTTCGCATACTGCTTCTGCTCCTTTATATATATACATACATACATATACATATATATGTGTGTGTATGTATGTACGTATAGTACCAGCTAGCGGAGAATTGTACAACGGACAATAAACATGTGGATTTAGCTGCAAAGCAATAGTATTCTAGCTTGTTCTTCGGATTTTCAATAGAAGATTCACGAAAATTCGAAGGATAGAGAGAGAGAAGATAATATACATATATGTGTATGTATATATAATATATATAATATATTAAGTATATATATATATATATATATATATATATATACTTAAATTTATCTTACAAAAATATTTACATGTTCTCATTGTGTGTTCATGCGGGTGGCGAACACAAGCTGTACACTTTTCTACCTCTCTGATGTTACGCCACCCGCGGCAATTTGTAACTTACATTAGTGTGTCTCTTCTTATTACAAAATATCAGCTAAAGTACAAAGTAAATATCAAATGCCAAAAATACGTCTGTTTACACTTTGAAATCGCAGCCGAACGCAATGTAAAAAAAAAATAAGGTGTGTCTCTCTCGTTTACAGGAGATCCGTACACATATTCACCCAGGAATTTCGTTAGGATACCCACTCTCTCGCCCCTGTCCACGTAGAGAACGCATAAATTTTATAATGCATACAATTAAGATGCGAAAACATGATACAAAGCGGACCTTGATAATATTGTAATATGTGAATCTTACAATTCTCAACTCAGGCAAACTGCGCGCCGGATAATCTCAATGAGCATCGAATTATTAGATTGCTTTGACAATTTAATGTTATATTACATTACTATTTGGTTGCGTTTTAAAGACCGACGATTATGCGGCACGCAGTTTGCCTAAACTGAAAATTAGAAGATTCATTTATTATAATATTATCAAGCACCAAGATCAGCTTTGTACCGTATTGGCTTTTTTGCATTTTAATTGTTTATAACATTTTACGGCCAATTCTGATACTTAGTTTTTTTATAATGCAGTTTTTTTTCTTATCGCGTTTCCTAATCACAGATCTCTAAACTTTGATATTCGCTTAAAAATGGACACAGTACAGGATTAAAATCGCTTGCTTCTCTTCACTCTGTGCGCATGTCAAAAAACCTCACACCGCATATTTTGCATCTTCAGGTAGAATCCTATTATATAATCGGATTACACAGCGGATGCGATACACTTGGTACTCCCGAGTGCTCCAGATGTTTTCGCTCCGCGTCCTTTTAAATTTTAATTCCGCCGAGAAGGACGTGGTATCGTCCTTTTCAAAAGGCTACCACAACATTTTTGTCCCCTTTCTTTATTGAAATTTTCAGAAAGAAATATCGAAACAGCCGATAATATTTCAGAAAAGAAAAATTCATTATTAAAATTCCAATATTTTTTATAATTTTGTTTCTTCTTCTTTCTAAATTCAGTTTACACAGAGCGAAAATCTGTAAGTGCGTTAATGACACACATTAATATCGCACATTAAATAAAACCGAATTAATCGCACGTTATAAGCATTCCGGAGTACTTATGGTGAACCGCACCTATAGTTTGCAATCAGGAGTCTACGCAAGTCCAAGCTAAAGAGAATCTGAATCCATTATGAAAATAACACTTTCGCGTTTCGTATATAATAAATTAGGATATACATTTGCTTCTTCCGCCAATAAAACTTAAGTAGTTTATCTAAATGAGTTTATGATACACTTCTCGCCCTTCGAAATCGAATTCTAATTGTCACTTGACGCAACATTACTTTAACGTGTGTAACGCAGTTATAAACGCCACGAATTTCTAATAAATTCTATCATCTAATTGTACTATAATTAATTCGAGCGACACGGTCGGACGATTCTGTTGTACCGCGGCAAGTGAATAATTATGTCACTTCTCTTGTGAGCGGCGTTATTCTTAAATGCACACAGTATTTTCGTATTAACGAAGTAACTTCGTTGCACCACCCGACATTCACCGCCGCTCGCTCTCCTCGCGGTTTTTCAAAGTCTGCGACCGAAAATGGATAAACGATATACGTTATGTTACAAAACAAAGGGAAAACTAGCTTACAAAGAAATTCGAACTTGGCTTCTCCTCGCGCGCATCATAACAAGTAACGTATTTATGTACACCTAATAATCGCACCATCGAAGTCTGAAAAACTTTTTATATGCTATATGTATATATAATAATTTCAATTACATATCAAATACAATATACATAATTTTAATTACATGCGCGCAATGGAACTAGACGACCTCTAGAAAATTCAAAAGCAAATTATAGACAAAACGTGATCGGCAGGATCACCTGTAATTACGAGATTAATATACATCGAATCACTAATAGTGCAAAGGATGTCACTAATGCGTAGCACGTAACTTTTAACGTAAATCTATCGCGAAGCAGAAAAGGAGAAACTCATATTTTTTGCCAACGATAGAACAATCGTATCTCGTGGAGTAAACCGATAGAAGACCGTGAAGTAGCTCTCAGTTACAAAATAGACTACGATTTTCTTTCGCTGTATTATTTTATTCTTCTACACGTTTTAATACACTTTTTATCATATTAGTAGGTTTTGTACTTGAATGAATGTTCTGAGCGAATGAAATTTTTCGAGATCGACGAAGAAAAAAAGAAAGAGAATAAATCCTTAAATAAAACGTATTTTTGCACACCGTGATTCCTCGCGCTCTTCGGTATAACTAAAAAAAATAAAAAATAAAAAATAAATGTATTGCGCGTTATTGCTTTAAAGCATCAAAGAGAATAAAACATACCATTTTTTTTTCTTATTGTAACTGGTCTGTCCTGCCCTCTTAGAGTACTCGATTCTCGTATAAATAAATGTTTATTTTTAAATAAAATCAGCGTTAAAAAAAACATCTATCGCGCATATCAAATGCGTCGCCCTCCGTGCGAGGAAAATCGGACAGTAATATATATATATAACTTTCACGAATTCCCCAAAATAAAACTCAAGTCTTCAAATTTTAACACATATACCCTTTATTATAAATAATTTGCCCTTTTACAGTGAAATATAAAATATAAAGAATTCCGCGCCTTCTTTCTGTTTTTCCGTATGTCAAAAAAAGAAAAAACACAACACAGTACTAACTCGCTTATCTACGTGTCATACTAGATTCGGTTTAGACTTTACGGCCTACCGTAACAGCTACGAACTAATCTAAATATATAGCGTCATTAAATATAGCTATATTGTTAATATTATGCGTATATGCAAATAATATATACAGATAAGTTGTATTATGCAGTCTGCACATTATATATATATATATTATATATATATATAAAATGATAACTGCTTTAGAGAAGATATCGCGAGATTAGCTGACATCAGCTGAGCGAAAGCGCGCTTCCGAACTTTATTTAACACCTTATCAAAAAATTGGACTAACGCTATATATATATATATATTATGTATATGTATATATGTATATATATAAACATTTTAGGGCACCATTTCACCGGTATAAAAAGTGTACGAAATACACTTTTGGCCGTTGCTCGCGAAAAAGGTACCAGCTCTCTTTCTCTCCATATATATATATGCTATATATATATATATATATATATATGTTACCTAAAAATGCGCGTCGCTATATCCTCAAAATACTTAGCTATCACCTTAGGCCACACACGAATTCCGCCGAAATATCTTGAGAGAAAAAGAATTATTGAACGTATGTACAGTAAATTTAACCTTTCTAAATTTGAACAATGAAAATCCTAGAAGCAATCGACAGCGCAAACTAAAAATCCATGGTTGTCTTTAATTATCTAGGAAATTGTCGGAATTCTGTGCGCAGCTTCTAGCCGGTTTTTTTAAATCTGGATTTCGCACGCGTCTGTGCGAAATAATATTTTAGTATCTTATAAGAAGCAAATATAAGAATGCTTCCATCAAGAATATTCAGTTCGAATTCGTTCTTTGCTTTTATTTTTCCAAAGAAACGAGTTAAAAAAAAAACATTTGTCTCGTTGACAAAAGTGGGCAAGATAATCGAGACATTCGCCCGTTGTAGAGTAAAACGACGATCGGTTTAAAAACTTAAGAACTTTCAACAATCCTACCCTTTTCTGCCGGTTACGATCTCGGCGCTGCCGGATGATTAAAAAATGGCTTCTGAGGTTGCCCCGACGACGCCGGAGGATACGACACCTGGGTGCCCGCGGGCTGCGGCGGTGGTGGCGTCGTCGCTGAGAGCTTGGCGATCGGCACTACCGCACTCGCGGCCGGCGGCGGCGGCGGCGCCAGCGGCGCCAGAGGAGGCGGCGGAACGAATTGCGGTGGATACGGGTTGGAACCCGGTGGCGCTTGGGATGCCTGGGGCACCAGGAACGGCGTCTGCTGCGTCTGCTTGCCGACGACCGCGACCGCCGTCTGCGATGGCGCGGCGGTGCTGAACATCGGTTGCTGGGACGTGGTCGGCGGCGGCATCGCGAAGTTCGGGTACTGCACCGTGCCGGGTTTGCTCTGGAACTGGGGATAGTGGATGGACGCCGAGCCGGGCGGCGGGATGTACGGCTGCGGGGGTAGCTGCGGCATTCCCGGTGGGTATCCCGACGGGATGCTGACCACCAAGTTGGGAGGCGGAGATTTGTGCGCCTTCAGTATCGCCTCAGCCGTCAAACCTGTAAGCAGGGAAGTAAGAGTGACGTATAAGATAAAACAGTATCTTACAATAGCATTCGTCAAATCTAATATACTTTCTGATCTCTTCATTTCTCTAAAATAAGAATTAGGTTTATTTTCTCTTTAAAACTGCTATATATTCCTTTCGTTCGTGTATACATATACATATCTCTTTAAAATATGTACCATGCTTGCGAGCTCTCTCCTCCTCGTCATCACTGAGGAACAATCCAAATTCACGTTTCAAACGCTCGGTAAGGTTTTCTCGTTGACGTTCTACCAAAGTTGGTGCTGCAGACCAACCAATTGCACCCTCCTCTCCTGATTTAAATATTAATTCATTAATCGTTGCATCGCTTAAAAACGTGCTAAAGTTGTCACAATGCAGTCATTATTTCTATTCGAGAAATTTATAGGATAAGATATAAATACTTAAAGGAAAATAGTCGTTACCTTTTTTTTCATCGTTCTCATTAGCGGAATTGGGGAAGTGTGTCAACGAGTTAGCGCCTGCCAAGTCGAGAGAAAGAGATGCTTTGGAACCCTCCTCGTCGGAACTGAGTGAGGAAGTGCCGCTGCTGGCGCTGTCCGATCTACCTCGTGCTCCACTTTTGTCCACTGTAGTAGCGTCGTTCGACGATTCCGGCTCGGTTCCGGTTCCTCCGGATGACTGTTGCTTGCGTTTGCGATACTCCGATATAGACAACTAAAAAGATATGTTAACATTTCCATATAAGATCGTCTTTTATCACAAAAAAATTATAGAAAGAAAATTAAAACGAAAAGAAAGGAGTTATTTGGTTTTATGCTACAATAGGATTATGTAATTATGAGGATAGGATTATGTAATTATTTGTAATTATGAGGATAATGATAATAAAGAATGGTTAAACGGGATCCTCTTCGGCAACAAAAAAAACATTACTACAGTCCTACCCTTCTAACCTTGCGCTTGGCAGGAGGGAGAGCGTCCGGTTTAAAAGCTGGTGCTGGCATACTGTTCGGCACGACGGTCCTCGGGTCTTTCAACCGTTTTATCTCTTTGGGTTTGGTCTCCTCCTCCTTGGCGGGTGTCTCTTCCGGCTTCGGCGCTTCCTGAATCGAAGCCGAATCCTGCACTGTGTCTAAACTATGTTCAGAGGAGTCTGATTTTGGTTCAATTACTTGGGGTGACGCGTTAATCTCATTATCAATGTCATTTTTCATTACTTCGGCCGTCGGTTCGTCGTCCAGTTTCGCTTCCAAGAGCTCGCGCAGCGCGGTTGACAACATCGACTTTTGCTCGCCGTTCTTGGACCCGTCCACTGCGTCCATACTTATCGTGGATTCTATGATGGCCGCCTCAAAGTCCATCTTAGGCGTTTTCGGCACGGCAGACGGATCGGCCTTCTTGCGAATGCGCTCGCTCAGAGGTGGAATCGAGTGAAAGATCTTGGGAGGGTCCGCGACCGACTCCGCGTCCATGTTCGTAGTAGCCGGCTCCGGGAAGATAGACTCCTCCGACAGCGCGGCGAAGGCGGACGGCTCTTCCGCTTTGGAGACTTCCCTTGCGGGCTCGTCATTCGTACCCACATCCGTCTCTTTCGTGCCGTCTTCTGCAACGATAATCTGTTCCGGTTTAGTATCGGGCTTAGTGTCCGACTCTTTGAAAGTTGTTTCTTCGTGATTGATATCAAACAACTTAAAGGAAGATTCGCAGTACTTGTCATCGTCCACGTCCTTATCCTCGGAGTCGGAGTCCTCCTTCGAGCTCTCCATCAGTCCCTCTATTCCGTCCATACTCTTGTCCTTCTCCGAATTCGTGTCGATCTTTTCCTGATAGTCGTCGTTACCGTCGTCGCCCGTGATCTTCTTCATCTGCGCCTCGACGTCGAACTCGTCGATGGAGGCGTTGTCGTCCGACCTCTCGGCAGCCTCCTGACACCTCGCTGCGGCCTCGGGCGACTTCTTCTCGTCGTTCGATTTCTCGTTACTGGCAATACTCACGAGTTCGGCGATGCCACCGAACTCCAGCTGCATCTCGACCACTCGCTGTTTCAAAATCGCGTCGGGCTCTATCGTAGCGACGGGAGAACTGAATCCTTCCATCTCGGTATCGGGCTCGTTCTGATCGATTATCTCGACTGTGCCTTTAGCGACAATTTCCTCCTTCGCAAAAGGCTCCTTCTTGATATCAAGCTTGCTGAAGGATACTCTATTCTCAACGGCCTCTCGAATCTTCTCAATTATTTTCTTATTCAATTGATCGTAATTACATTCGGACTCCCCCTCCCATTTCGGGGAAACTTTTTCTTTTTTCGTCGTAACACTGTCTACATCCATTTCAGAAGACTCTTCCGTTTTAATGACATCACTGGATTCTGTTTTTCCTTCACATTTTATATAAAATTCTGACTGAGGAAAAATATCAATTGAGAGTTTTTCTCGAACGACTGGTTTGTCGGAATCTGTAGATCCATCGTCCACTTTGATTTCTTCTTTCACAGATTCCGAATCGTAATGTCTTTCGTCGGTCTGTTCTACGATAGGCGATTGCACATGTTCCGTATAGTCATCCTGAAAAAAAAAAAAAAAACACTTAAATTATTATTGGCAATATTATATGTAATTGATTTAATCACGCATATTACAGATAAATATTATTATTAGAATAATACAAAGTTAATATAAATAGGCTAATAAATCAGTTATAAAAGTGCTTAATAAATATACTGCGACAACTTTATAACATGATTAGAGTTAATATTAAAATACATTAAGCACTTATAGCTGGCTTGAATTAATCCATTTACATTATTTCAATTTCAAGTCTACTAAGCCTGGATATTATTTTTTAAGAATAATTAATACTAGAATTCAATTAAAACGCTGCAAAACTTACGTCAGCAGGACACAATGATTTGCTGTTAGGCGCTGCTTCGGTCGGAAGTAGCATGGTAGGCGTCGTCGGCGGAGTGTAATTGTCCGACGACAGACTCTCTCGAGCTATTCTCCGCTTCTTGGGCGGCGCTACCGTCTCGCTAAGGGACGGTGGACTCTCAGGCCGGCTATTGGGCGAATCGCACTCTTCCGAGATCGCCTGGCGCAACCATCGCTTCTTTGCCGAGCCCGTAGATACCGCCGGACAGCCACCGTTGCCACTGTTGTTATTGTTATTTCCGACAACCATTTGCTGTTGCTGTCTACGCTGCGGCGGCGAGTCGCATATGCCACTAACCGAATTGGCAGCTTGCACGAGGGTCGCTAGACTTTTGGCCGCGTAACTCTGCGACAGGAATTCCGCCGAAGCGTCCGCCGGCACCGGCGAGAAATGTCTGCCGCACAGAGGATTTTGTAAGGTCATGGAATTTTGTAAGGTTGGTGGGCCAGCAGACGGTAGAGCCGGTAGAGGCGACACTTGCGGTATATTAGCTTGCGGCGGATCGGGCGATTCCTTTAGCCACTCGTTCATCAACACCTTCTTCGTCTTCGGGAACTTGAAACCCGGTGCCAAAGGTCCGACCGCGGCGGCCACCAGTAAGCAGGCAGACGACAATGGTGTCGACGGCGTAGAGCTCTGCGAGCTGCTACTGGCTCCGCTGTCACAGGTAGGACTTTTGACAGGAGTTGGTTGTTGTAACGGCGGCGAGCTCGGAGGACCGGGGGCGTTTGAGTTAGCTAAGGCCAACAGTAACCCAGCTGCAGTGGGAATTCCTTGATGACCGCCGGACGACGATCCGGTATTGCTAACGTCGCCCGTCGTGTTCTTAGACGGGGTGTGTAAGTGCGACGAGTAGGGAACGTCCCGGCTGGGCGGACGATTCTGACTCAGCAGAGGCGGCGACTGCATGGAATTGCTCTCGTCCCCGGAGGATACGTCGGACTCGGCGGAGTTCAATCTCGTCCTTCGGTTGCTGCCCTGCGACTGAGATGAACTTGTCGTCCTCGCTCGACCTTTCCTCCTTCGCCGCCGCAACGGTCTCTCCAAGTTCGTCTGTTTACTGCTCTTGGACTGCCCGGTCGTCGAATGACTATCCTCGTTGTCGCTGTGCGCGCCGCCAGATTCTTTTCGTTGCGCATTTCTCGCTTGCACCTCCTGCTTCCTCTGTTCCGCCTTCTCCAGCCTCTCGAAAGCCTTCATGATCGCTTCCATCTTCCTCTCTTCCCGCGTCATCTTCTTTTTGTCCTTTTTCGTTTCCGGCGTCGTCACCGCCGTCGACTGGTTCAAACTAGGCGACGTTTGAGGCTGTATATTCGTTACGGCCGGGGTGGTTTCCTCCTTGGCGACTTGACGGGTCGTTGCAGTCGTAACCGTGGTCGTGACGATTCGCCTCGGCGTCGCGGGCGTCACCGTCGATGATACAGACGACGTTGTTGCAGTCGTCGTAACGACTTGCGCGACACTCGTGGGAGGAGCAGCTGCTGGTGGCGTGGAATCGGTTTCCTCGCAGACCGTGTTTCTTCTACCCCGCCGCCTTCGTTCTCTGCCACTGAATAAACAGATAAAGGTAAATGTACATTAAAAACATATAAAATATCCCGTACGTTGTATCGTTTTGTATTGCTACGTGAACTTACTCGGCATTTTCGACGAGAGCGCCGTTGCTACCTCTTCTATTCAGCTGGCTCGCCGCGTTCGCAATCTGACACTCCCGCGGATTGTTGCACGCGCACACGACGGGCATCGCGGGGGAATTGGGATTGGGTGACAGCAGCAGATCGTGCTGCTCGTGCTTGATCGTTATCTCGGCGTTCTTCTCGATTGCACATGTCGTCACGATGTAGAGGTGTAGCGTGCCCTTCTCGATGCAGTGCTTCACCTCGGCGTTCGGCTTGCAGCTACGTCGCACAAACCTCGCGTCGTTTCCGTACGTCCGCGTGTCTACGCACACCTCGGTGCCGTCGCGCGGCAGACGGTAGAAGAACACGAATGGTCCGGGCCGTTGAACGTGCTGCCTACCGCTTTGCGTATACTGCAGCCGGTGTTGTGTGCTGAGCATATATTTGCCACGTAACTCCACGACGGGAGTGTTCGGCGGGAGGTACATTGTCGCCACTAAAAACTGCAGCAAAAAGACGGGACTTTTTAATATACTTTTCATAGAGAAAAACAAAAGTTTGAACAATTTTTATTTTGAAATTCAATAATCGTGATAAATGATTAGTGAATGTCGGGAACATTGTCAAGAAATTAATATAAATTTTAATAAATTTAATATAAATACATAAAAAAATAATTCAAAAATAAAACGGAGAATTTTTTCGCAGTTTTCGTAATGATAACATTTGTTATTTTTTTTTCGTTCATATCAAGGATAACGTTTTACTTACTCTAAGATTATTGCTGTGCACGTTGAGTCGGCATTTACCGGTGGCAACGACGTTCATGTTACTTTGCCTGAGGTCGCTGTGCGTGCCGTTGACTTTGATGTTCGATATCCTGGCTCGCAATTCGGGACTGTAATGATTCGTAACAGCTTCTTCATATCTCTCGATCCACTGCCTTAGGGGCGCCATGTTAGTGCCCCAGGCATCCTGCACATCCTCCTCTTTGTCGTCGAGACTCGTTCTCCTCTTGGCTTTACGTTTTCCAGGTCCCCGCTTCGGGGTGGTGTTCTCCTTCTTGCGCACGGCGCTCGATTGCCGGGCTTGCGAGTCCCTTCTCTGCCTCTTCCCCACGTTATTGTTGTTGTTATTGTTGTTGTTATTTAACCTTCGCACCTGCGACGACTGGGCGGATGCGTCGGACTTGTTGCGCCTCGGAATTTGCGTTTGTTGCTGCGGAAGCGGGCGTTTCTTCGGTGCCGTGGGGTTGTTCGCCGAACCGACGTCCGTGTCCGCCGAACTGGTGGACGACGCGTCGGACGACGTGTCCGAGTTGAGGAGCTCCTCGCGTTTACGCATTTGCAGGGCGCGTGCCCGCTGTCTGTCCACTCGTCGTGGTCGGCATCTCTCGCAGAGGTATTCGTCAGGAATGTTCGAGCGGTCAATGCCCATGCAATCGACGTGCTGCCATACTCTGCGGTCACATGATCAGTTCGTGATAAGTGTTTTATTTATGTCAAATGTTATGTGCGTAACTTCTCAGATAAATATTTCATAACATAAAATGCACACGAGCTCTGAGAATACGTTTTTAATCTATATTCTACATCAATAATGCGAAAATATTGATGGATACTTACAAGCATCGGTCACAACATATCATATATCCGTCGTCATGTTCAAAGTCACTGAAAATAATATACAAATATTATATAACCACTATAATCATTATGTATGTGTCTATATAATTATCTTCACTTACCAGATACATCTAGTAACACTGTCCTCGTCGTCACCTTCACCTTCGGCTGCTGTTTCAGTTTCTTCGCCTTCCGGTTCCACCTCCCGTCCCGCTTCACTGCTGATCGCACTGGCAGCGTCATCCTCCACATTGGTGTTACTCACAACTTGAATTAGAATAGAATTTTCGTTATTATCTAACTTCATTACATTCTGTATTAAAAAGTGTGTAAATATTAGATATAATTGATATCTAATACCAAGGACATTACCAGGCCCGAAGATGTAAGGATGTTGAGGAACTGTGGAACTGCCGGCTCCGTTAATGGGTTGTTGCTTCGGGTGAGGGGGTGACGATGGAGGCGGTGGTGGCGTTCGCGGCGGTGGCGCCCCATAATTGTGGTCTTGAAGAACGAACTGAAGACACTGACAATTAAACGAGAATTCGAATTTTAAATCTAAACCATCCATAATCTCGAGTAACACACAGAAATTTGGAATGTATAAACATTGAGCTTTATAGCTTTATTAGTTTCGTACCTCGTAAGGAAGCGGCATTCTTCTCACTGGCGATTTAGGTGTACTCTGCTCCTCTTCTTTGGACATCCGTGACTCGTTGTCGTTTCTACAAGTAACATTATTTTGTTTTGAATATAAAATTGTTATTTGTATCTGTTATTATTTATATCGTCTTTCAACGCTTTCCTCCTTATGTCCGTATTAAATTAAAGATTGAGACTGAGACTGAGATTGGATTAGAATTTGACCAATCAAAGCAAAATTTACTAAACTTAAAAATGGTTTTCTTTCTTCTAATTGGTTAAATTTTAATCCAATCTTAATATCAATTTTATTACTATTGCGATAAATATTATCACAGTCTTAGTGATCGAATGGTAAACCACCTGCCCCGAACAGGGAGATTTCAAGTTCAAATCCTGGCTGAGGTAATAAATTCTTTACAACGTTTTAGGATACTTGTAGCATTATTATCGAATTGAATCTCAATTTAATATATATTTCAGCATCAGGTTATGATTGCGTTCTAAAAAATTTCCTAAAATAATCAGCACGCAGTTTATTGTAGTTAAAATTTAGAAATTAATATTTATTTAAATTTAATTTCAATCAATTTATCTCAATTTAATTGTATTAAAAATATTACTGGGCATCAATATTTAACTTCGACTTCTCTTATTTGTTGTATCCATATGGCGGCTTTATTAAAATTATTTTATTTTATTATGATATTAGATTAACTTGACAGAACAAAGTTAGATAAATAAATTTATCATAGAATCCATGAGCTTGAACTTACTTGTTCTCAGTGAGGTCTTTACGAGGTTCAATCGTAGCCGAGGTTATCGGAAATAAAGTTTTTATTTGTCCGGCCTGCTGCCGGATCTGCTGGGTGTATTGCGGCGACATGATCAGTTGCTTCTGCTGTATCGCTTGTTGTTGGATTTTGATCGGCGAGTTTTTGTGCGGAGATATCACGTTGGACGGTGGGACCACCGTTTGCTGCGGCAGCAACGTCTTGATGCAGCTTTTCGTTGTTACTTGCGTCGCGGTCGGACCTTGAGCTTTCGTAAATCCCGTTACGTTCGGACTCGACAAGGATTTAACGCCAGCGCCGCTGATTTTCTGAGCGTGATTTCTTTGCACGGATTTCTGCGGCGGAATAGTCTTGATGCATCCAGGCTGTTTCTGCGGAGCGTTCTGCGGACAGATTACGTTCTGCTGCTGCTGCTGTTGTTGTTGTTGTTGCTGCTGAACGATTTTCACAGATTGAGGATTGTTATTTCTCTGTACTAGAGGCTGTTGAATGACATTGTTTTGAGAGTTCGCAGTAGCCTTGGCGGGGTTCACTATAGTTTTCTGCGAGATAGTCTTCAAACCAGCTACAGTTTGCGCAGCTTGCGTCTGACCCTTCGACACCCTCATCACCGTTTGTTGCTGTTGCTGCTGTTGTACCTTCGAGTTCATCACAACCGGAGTTCTTTGATTGTTTGGTACAGACGCTATCATCTTCGAGTGCACATTGGTAATACTGTGACTTCTTTGAACCTGTAAGTTATTCGCGTTCGCCGATTGCTGCTGTTGAGACTTTTGGATTACTTGTTGCGAACCCTGTAACAAATGCGCCGACGTAGGTTGCATCTGCAATTGCTGTTTGCCAATCGTGAGCACGTTCGAGTTTTGCGACGGTTTGGAGACATTCGGCATACTATTGCTCTTGCAGACATTACTCGTTGTGGTTTGCAGTTTGGTAGTTTGTACTGTTGCCAATGTCTGAGACTGCTGCAATCCGGTTGCCGTCGATTGAGATCTAGCTTGAGATAACGCCACTGGCGGGCATGCTACATAAGATTTTCCCGGTGACTGATACTTTTGTACACCGGTTACGACGCCACTAGATTTCGAGACATTGTTCATCTGTTGCGTGCTCGACTGAAACTGCTGCCTGCCCATAGCTAGCGGCATCTTCTGAGACACCTGCAACTTCTGTAGACCTTGCTGTTGCGTCTTGAGGTTTGGAAGATGGTTGCCGCTCAACAACGGAACTTTCTGATTCTGATTGTTGCAGACAGATTGGAGCGTTGTCTTTTGCACGTTCGTCACGCCGACGGGCTGCGTCGTCTTCTGTATCGTCGGACTGCCTAGCTGAATCTTCTGCGGATTCGCGTTGTTCGCAGCCGCCTGATTGTTTATAAACTGGCCCGGTAACACTCGCGTCTTCGGCATGCCCTGTGACCTCGACAGGGAATTATTACGTTGCGCGACTATGGTAGACGGATTAGTAATCACATTCGTCACGGTCTTGATTTTTTGCGCAGATTGACTAGGTGAGATGACGCTGCCTGGCAATGATTTCGTGTGATATCTTTGTAGATCCGTTGCCTTCACCGCCGTAGTGGAAGTACCCATGGAGTAGACCGGCTGAAGCTTGTGATGTAACGTGGTCTGTACATTGCTCGCCGTACTCGTCATTTGTTGCTGCTTACTACAATGGATAAAGTCAGCGATCATCGTAACCTGATTCTTCGGCTGATTGCTCTGTACCGTGGTCACGGTTGCCTGCCAGGGGGAGAGAACGCCGCTACTATTGGGGGATGGTGAGGACGTCGAGTTAATCGATGTCTGAGAGGAAATGTTGACGGTCACCGGCTGCGGCGTCTGATCAGCGGACGATGGCGATAGCTTCTGCGAAATAACGCGCGTTGTCAACACCTCCGTGGTGTTGGTCTGCGAACCGGCGATCATTCTCTGCACCTGCTCCCTCGCGCCTTTGGCGACTGGATAGGTCACCACGGGCTTGACGGTGGTCGTGGGAGCGGACGCAGTGGTGACCGTCGTCGTCTGCTCCTCCTGGTTGTTCGCCACCTCCAGACACTGCAACAGCTGCGACTTGCCGCAATTAGGAGCAGCGGCAGCGTTGTCGCCGCTCGCGATTATCACGGTGTTCCCTGTCATGGTGGTGGTGGTGGTGGTAGTGGTGGCGACCACAACGGGATCTTGGGATCGCCAAACCTCCCGGGCAAACAGTAACGTCGATGGCGGTTGTCCTTCACTCTCGACGCTGTCCTTCTCTACCACCGGCGCCGTCGCGGCCTCCACATCTAGCTTCAGAACGAAACTCATGGTGGTGGTTTCGTTAGCCTGGCCGTAGTCCTTCTCCACAGACGCAGGCTTCGTCGTTTCGGTCGCCGTCGAGACGGCAGCTTGCCCGGCTTCGTCATCGTTGTTCTCTGTGGCTGTTGCGCTCTTCTCGTTGATGCGACCGTCACCGCCGATCAACGGAGACACCGGGGGTGGTGGGCCAGGCCCTGGGGACAGTTGCTCCCCAGCACTGCCAGCTGTTCCACCCCCCGATAACTTGATTACCGATGGAGTCGACGTTTTGATAGCCTTACAAGAGCACGCAGTGGAAACTCGCGAGCGACTTGCGGTCCAAGGACTGTTGGCTATCGTCCTCGCCCGGCTTTGGCTTTACCAAGTCTAGTTCTCGATTCGGCTATTTGAGGACCGTGGACCATAGGCTGCAAAAGAAACAAAAAATCAAAATCGTTATCGGCGTGCAAGCTACTCTATTAAACAACAATTTGATTTTACTTTTCTAGCTCTCGCTCGCGTCATTGACGTAAAACTGATATCGAAGGAACTAAGTGTTAAATTATATTACAACGCAGATATATTTCGTGTGAGCCATTTAAATGAGAGCATCTTGCATTTCTCAATATTTTTCAATCTATCGCCTCCAGTCCAAACGGATGCATTTGCAAAACGTTTCTTTGTCGTAAAGAATAAAAAAACAATAATGATCGAATGACTCGTACATAATTAGACTACTTGAGAACTGAAACGCGCGTTGCAGTTTGCTACGCGTTACTAAGAATTCTATATCATTAGCGAGATCTAACGTGAGCATGATAATCGGGAACGTCAGACTCGCCGCCGTTGGGAAACCGATGGTCAAACGGCGGATTGTCGGTTACGAGAATACCCGACGCGCGGACAATGTGGGAGTTGTCTCGAAGTCGATATACGGGAGCAAGACCGAGAAAGACGGAAGTGCGCCCGCGAGAGATCTCTGCGGAGCGCAGATTCCGAACAACTTTCTCGCCAAGTACGCGACGTTCGCGGGCCCCGCTGGCTCGTTCGGTCATTGATCACTACTGCCGCGCGTCTCGCGTCCCTAGCGTTCCTCTTGTCCGCATTAGCACGCGCGTGATAGAAATACAAGGCTGCTTCACTTAACTCCGATAAAGAAGCGTGAGAATTTTTACGGAGCACCGAGAGCGCGACGGCACGACCGAATCTTGACCCTTCGCGGTCTAAATTATTTCTCGCAAACGAGCGAAGATTTTTCGTCCTCAATTTCATTTAATCTGTGAATCCATAAATCAAGGATTTTTTCATTATTTGGAGGAGCTTATAAAAGAGAGATTCCAAAAAGTACAATTTGTCAGCTATAATCGCGTACGGAATGCTTGAAGAACCACGCGATTTTGCCGCTGCAAAGTATTACAGCTCAACGTAAGAGTGCAAAAAATTAAAGATTTGGCTCTTTCTTTCTCTCCTTCTTTTGAATCATTTTCTGCGTGAAATGAGTGTTTAATCCGAAGATAATGTAAATATTATCGCACCTTTGCTTAAAAAAAAAGTGACATAGTTGAAACGAAAACAAATCAAGTTTCCCAGATTTTTGACTGACAGGGTAATAATCTTTACGCGACTTACTCATGGTAATAACTCGAAAATTGCGTTTTCTTTTTAGTTGTGTCATTTTTGCGAGGCAAGAGTGCAATTATAATTGTAGCTAACCTCGGGTATTCCGCCGCGAACGTAATTTGAAATCATTGAATCGTCGGAAATTCCCCGATGCGATACTGCATTTATTGGATCGTCGCGTGGGTCGGTGTTGTTCGGCGGCCTCGTGTGCAAAACGAGGAAGATCGAGTGTGACACGTGCGCGCTATCGCTATACCGCGAGATAACGGATTACGGACGAATTCAGTGGAGCGTACTGTTTACTCGGTTAATTACCATGCACATCCGCTTACGTTTGGCACGACTGCGTGACACGCGTCTGCCGTATGCGCGATCGCCTACATAACACCCGAGGGGGACGCGATCTTTCCTCCATCTCGCCGCCGCGGCGACGGCGGCTGCGGCGGCGTTGAACGGGTGCGTGTAAACGTCAAATATTGAATCAGGCGAGTCAAACGAGGGAGTCGTGAATGAAGACTGTCGGGGGCGAGGGGGAGGGGCAAAATTCATTTGCATTCGGAATCGAACGCGCACGCCACGGCGCGGGCGCGCTCGCGACCCATTGACAATTCTCTCTTATCCGGCTGTACGAACTCCGGGCCGTACAAAACCCGCTGACTTCCTCGAGCGCCGAGGTATACGCGTTCGGCCTTCAACCATCGCGATATATAATTCCTCGCGAGGAATCCGAAGCGCGGCCCAAGCGAGCGTCGGTTAACCGAGGTTGCGCCGACGGACGGCGCGGCGTGTTAATTTTAAACGGCATCCGCGAAATGAATCACAACCCGGTATTATTTCAGGTGCCCGCGAAATCCGCGCGCGGATCGCATCACGTCGCGCGCGCGCCGCGATTCCCGCGACTAGCGAGTACGTCGCGCGGCGCGGCGAGAAGCATCGGCGGACTATAAATATAATATCCCGCGACCGCGCGAGACGATAATCCCGCGCGCGCTTTAGCGACATTTATACTTGTCAGTTATATCCGCGACACGCGCGAGTATTCCGAAGCCACACGTCGAGGACTCCTTCCGGGTCTCGTTTCGGCTCCACAACGCATCCGAGATGCTCCGTGTCTTTTCTTCCAAACGGACGGCTGATTGCCGTCGACCAATCCTCCAGTTCTCGATACGTTATATATTAACGCGACATTTCCGTTTGCTATGTCAATTTGACCACGGGTGCTCTTTTAACGTACGAGTCGCGAGGTCAGAAAAAATTGATTCGCCGGTCGTCGTTAAGGTTAAAAAATTGAAACGTGAACGGCGGCTATTATCGACAATTATGCCAACGTGATCGATAGTCTCGAGCGAGTCGCGAGTTGCCGCCGGTAGGATCAAACGCCGCGCCGTGGCAGAAGTTCGCCGCGGCGAGTAAGCGCGGCCAAGGCTCGCGTAAATCTGCCGTCGATATTCCGAAGGGGACAACCACGCGAGAAGGGAATTAGAAAGTCCCGCGCGATTTTCAGCGTGTCTCGCGGGCGAACGCGTGAGAGATTGCATCTCTCTGGGTGGACCTCGAAGAAGCCCGATTTTGCGAGAGCGACGACAGCGGCGGCGGTAGCAGCGGACCTTTTCTCTTTCTCGTGACCGACTTCGGACGGTATTGTTCGTTCGTCGCCGCGCAAGAGAGAGAGAGAGAGAGAGAGACGCGATTTCGTAATACACCGTTGATTGTACAACGAGGAGTCACATTGTCGGCTTTATGAATGACGACGAGCGTCGCCGCCGTCTCGTTAGCGTTCACTAGTTTGGCGATTAATTTTCATCGACGCTTCGCCAGGCAAGGCGACAATAACATTGCAATTTTTACGCGTGTTATCTTCCCTTGATACACATATTAATTTTCAGAAACACCCGCGGATTAAGTCAGTCAAAACACGCGAATTATTAATAGCCAGGTCATGAATCTATAGAAAATAGATTATGCCGCAGATCAATAATACGCATAGTCGCTGCAGCGCGCATTGTCGCGCTATGAATATTGCATGACATTCAATTGATTAAATCTCCAATTCGGCAGGCGTTCCGTTAATAGAATGCGCCATCCGCGCGGGAGGCCGCGACAAGGGAATTTCGTGGGTATTTGCCTTTTACGGTTCTGTGTTTTGTGACCGTTAACACACTATCCGTGGAACGTGTGCCGCCTCACGTGGCATGGCCGTTAAAAACGTGAACGCCATAAGAATCCGCCCGAACGCAGAAATTCGACGAGCCTTTCGCATCGCCAACGCGGCGGGAGTCGATCGTTACGGCAGATTTCGATCCGAATGGAAATTCATACTCCCATTTGTGCCGTGCACCTAATCCGCGCAAGAAGCGGCGGAGCACGCCGAACTCTCTGTGAGAGACGCGATCCCATCCGCTTTATGCGTGAGCGAACGTTTTCTTTCTTTCTTAGAAATCGTACTACCTGCTCTCTCTAACTATTTCGTTTTTCGTACGATCGAGCGGCACCGTCGATCGCGCTTTGTATTTCGAATGCTGCGCCCGATGCGAAATCGCACGGATGTACTATAGAACCGGTCGT